CTTCTCGACCGTCTGTCTTCCCAACTACCCGGCGACCACCCCCTGGCTGGACGAGACCGAACAAGCCTATGCTCAGTGGCGCCTCATCAACGATGCCGGCGAGGCCGATGATACAAACGCTGTCAGCATCAAAGACGCGCTGGCGATGGTGTTCCGCGACCGACGAATCTACCTCTTTATTCTACTACAGCATAGCTCACTTCTCTCGCAGACCTTCCAGTACTTCTTCCCGACGATTGTCAAGACACTGGGCTACGGGAGCATCGAGACTCTGCTGATCACTGCGCCAGTGTGGATCGCCACGTTTCTTGTCTCTCTGTTGGTGACCTGGACGTCTGGACGGACCAACGATCGCAGCTGGCACATCATGGGGTTGATGAGCGTGAGCGCAGTGGGTTGTATCATCTGCACAGCCACGACCAACATCGGTGCCAGGTTTTTTGCCATGTTCCTGTACGCTGCTTGCCCCTGATGAACGAAAAGATATACTGACGACTGCAGGATGCCCATGGGTGCTGTGTCAGCATACCAAATCATCATCGCGTGGGTAGCCAATTCCTTCCCCCGTCCGCTGGTGAAGCGCTCCGCGGCTATCGCGACGGCCAACATGATCGGAAACACGGCGACGATTTATGGTAGTTATATGTGGCCTTCATCTTCTGGACCGCGATATGTTCCCGGCGGGAGTGCGACAGCCGTGGTTGCGATTCTGGTGGCAGTGCTGACGTGGGTGATTCGGACGGTGCATTCCAGAATGAACAAGAGGCTGGAGGAGGAGGAGAGGGAACACGAAGTGGGGAATCCAGGATTCAGATACATTCTATAACAGGCTCCTAGTTTTGCATTATGGAAACAAAAGTGCCGACCAAATGCAGCTGAATCCAGGTGAATAGTGCTGCCTAGACAATGCGCATAAATCACCCGAAACGGCAAATGGAAAATGTTATTGCCTAATGCCCGGCTATGACAACAACAAATACTCCGGAAATCAGCCCTACATGACCCACATTCCCGGAGACGCCGAGCCATGAATGATTGGCAATTCTTCTGGAAGTTCCACTGTTCGGTTCTCTGCGCCATCCGATTCACGGAGAAGGCCCAAATGGAGATGGGTCGATGATTGCTCTACGGCTGTCCCGGAAGTATGTCCTGAGCCCAAGAACCGAGTATATCTACTACGCCAATCTTAGGTGTCAATGTTCTCTTCAAAATAGTCAGAGGCATCGACATGAAGGCCATTTTCACCCTTCTAACGGCCCTGGCCGTGACCTCGGCGACTCCCCTTGACTTGTCTATCCGAGCCCTCCCAAATGCTCCCGATGGCTATGCACCGGCGAATGTGTCCTGTCCAGCAACACGACCCAGCATTCGCGGTGCAGGGTCGCTTTCTCCGAATGAAACCGCCTGGCTCGAGATTCGCCGCAACAACACCGTCCAGCCCATGAAAGACCTGCTTAGGCGACTCAACCTCACCTCCTTTGACGCAGCGAGCTACATCGACCGCGTGTCCAGTAACGCATCTAACCTGCCCAATATCGCGATCGCTGTCTCCGGGGGTGGATACCGGGCTCTGACCAATGGAGCTGGAGCTATAAAAGCTTTCGACAACCGAACAAAAGGCTCGACGGAATCTGGACAGCTCGGGGGTCTACTGCAGGCTGCCACGTATGTATCTGGACTGAGCGGAGGAGGATGGCTCGTGGGTTCAGTGTATTTGAACAACTTTACGACCATCTCAGACCTCCAATCCGGAGGCAGCGATGGCGACCTATGGCAGTTTTCCACGTCTATCCTCGAAGGCCCCAAGGCAAGACACCTGCAGGTCCTATCCACAGCCGACTACTGGAAGCACTTGCTCGAAGCAGTCGACGGTAAACGCGACGCGGGCTTCAACACCTCGCTAACGGACTACTGGGGTCGCGCTCTGTCCTACCAGTTTATCAACGATCCGGCCGGGGATGGCGGGCCAGATTATACCTGGTCGTCCATCGCATTGACCGACACCTTCCAGCGCGGAGAGATGCCGCTCCCCATCCTGGTCGCGGACGGCCGGAATCCAGGCGAGCTACTAATCGGCAGCAACTCAACCGTCTATGAGTTTAACCCGTGGGAGTTTGGCTCGTTCGACCCGTCCATCTTCGGCTTTGCGCCGCTGGAATATCTCGGTTCGCGCTTTGACAACGGCCAGCTCGCCAGCGGCGAATCCTGCGTCCGCGGGTTTGACAATGCGGGCTTCGTGATGGGCACCTCCTCCTCGCTCTTTAACCAGTTCATCCTGCGCCTCAACACGACCGATCTTCCGGACCTGGTCAAGAGTGCCTTCTCCAAGATCCTCACTGGATTGGGCCAAGACGGCGACGACATCGCCGTCTACGCCCCCAACCCGTTCTACGGGTATCGCAATTCCACCGCGTCCTACTCGCACAGCCGCGAGCTCGACGTCGTCGACGGCGGTGAGGACCGCCAGAATATCCCCCTGCACCCGCTCATCCAGCCCACCCGTCATGTTGACGTGATCTTCGCGGTTGACTCCTCGGCCGACACGGCGTACAGCTGGCCGAACGGGTCCTCGCTGGTCGCCACCTACGAGCGAAGCCTGAACAGCTCGGGAATCGGCAACGGGACCGTCTTCCCCTCTGTGCCGGATGTGAACACCTTTATCAATTTGGGATTGAACACCCGACCGACCTTCTTCGGTTGCGATCCCGCGAACCTGTCCGCGCCAGCGCCCTTGGTGGTTTACCTGCCGAATGCGCCGTACAGCGCGCAGAGCAACACCTCCACCTTCCAGTTGTCGTACTCGGATTCCCAACGCGATGAGATCATCACGAATGGGTACAACGTGGTGACGCGGGGAAATTCAACTGTTGACAAGTCCTGGCCGACCTGTGTGGGGTGTGCTATTCTGCAGCGGTCGATGTATCGAACTAACACATCTATGCCAGAGGTGTGTAACAGTTGCTTCAAGTCGTATTGCTGGAATGGGACAGTGGATAGCAAGACGCCACAGACTTATGAGCCGAGCCTGGTGTTGGGGAGTAAGTCTAAATCTGCGGCGTACCGGGTAGGGCTGAACTGGCTGGTGGGTGCGTTTGCTGTTGGGTCGGCAATGTGGATGATAGTTTAAGTAGATGATATAGAATCTCTCTTGTTTGGCGCGTGGGTTGATGTACAGTGTGATTGTTGTAATCTGATGCGATCCACTCACTTGTATAACTCTTCACATTTTGCGGGGACAGTTGAGATGTGATCCTGCTGAATTTCTCGTCATACGGCACCTTCATTGGCACCTTCATTGAGAGCACTAAGAATATATAAACACAATCGCTTTGGAATACACATAAGTCAAACAACCCAGTAGAAGAAGAAAATGCCCTCAGCGGTATACCTAATCGGTAGTCTCATATTGTTATGGCTTTCTCCCAACCACACTCGCCCGTTATTGGGCCTCCATCAACAGAGCTCCCTAAGCCTCCGGTGCCATATACTCCTGGGTGGAGATTCACTATTAAATCACACATTTTCTCGGCCCCGACTCCAGTTGCGCAAGATTACTGCATCAACAGTAAAGGAGACAGGAAGGAAAGACGGCAGCTGAGTCCAATCGACCGATGTCTAAAGCACCCCCCCTTGCTTGGCAAAGAAGGAAACTATACAGCCAGCCTGGAGGTCATCGACGTCCTGAAAGGAGGCGATGGCCGCAATGCTCGGGTATTCACAGTCCGATTACTGGATTGTGTCAACATCTCAGATTTTTCCTTCAGGGAGGCACACGACTAGTTGCAAAAGTATACGACCCTCTCTACTTCAACGACGACGAAGGGTACCTCAACCCGTTCCTTGCATGGACAAATACTACACTCAAGAGCCCCATGCATATCTGGTTCTCAGCAAGTTTCAAGGTCGATGAATTCCAAGATACTACGGGTCCTACTCCTTAAGCCTATCTGTTGATTCAGTCCACACACGGACAGTTCGAATGATTCTGGTCGACCATATCCAAGGAATCACCATGGCAGATGCTGAACCGAGAAACTTCCCCCTGTCAGCTCGCCAATGTATTCTGAAGTCCATTGTGGACCTCGAAAGCCGGATCTACGAAAAGAACATTTTACTCACCGACCTCGAGCCGCGAAACATCATCATAAGCTCGTCAGACAGCGAGCAGCCCCGTGTTGTGTTCATCGATTTGCACATGCTCTTTTCAACCGCAGGCTAGATGATCCTGTTTCGTTCGAATTGAACGATTTTCTGGGGGAATACATTTCACCCCTTCTTCGATGGAACGAAATCAAAGGCAGAGGATATGCTTCTTCAGATTGATTGGGACTGGGATGCCTGGCTCGAAGCCGAGTTTGCCCATACGGCTGCAAGCATCACGCCCGAGATGCGAGAACGATGGTCCAATGAGTAACTAGTATCATGATCGTACCTGGGGAGGCTGCAAGGTCAAGATGATATAGCAACAACCACCCAGAGAGCATCCATTGTTGAACACCATAGTATAGATGAATTCAAAAATCATGGCTCTCTACACATATTACCTATACGAGAGAGCCAAAAAAAATATTAGAAATCTAATTCAACGGCGAGATTAAGCAGTGGCTATTCTATAGATATACAATATTTCGAGGTGGGCCGATCTTGGTTAGAGTTCTAAATCCAGGTGGATAATGGCATGCAGTAGTTTATCGACTCCAAAAGTGCCAAGCTTTTTCAGTTTTTCTTTACCATATTCGTTGCCATGTCGTCCGGGACAATACTCGACTAGGAAATAATCCTTGGTTTCCCAACCATTTTCATTGATCGCTAATGCTATTCCAGTTTAATGTCAGGAGTCTCTCTGTAATTAAGCAGACACTTCTAGCCGTATTCCCAAAATATAAACAGAGCTAGTCCGTTCAGTTAATCTCTGACATTTCTTCAGAATGGCCACGTTCGACGTACTTCGCGTTCAAGATTGCTATTACTTCCGATAATCCCAACTGCAAATGAAAAGCATGCCTCCTGTCAAGAAGGTCTTTCCTCTCCCAAGCCGTTTACGGCTGACTTACAGTTTAATTGACGTAACAGTGTGCATAGGCAATTATCATCGGCGGTGGCCCAGCCGGACTCGCAGCGGCGATACGCCTCAAACAATATAATGGTGTTGATACGACCGTCTACGAAATCCGGCCGGAACCGACCACACTAGGCGGCGCAGTGAACATCCCTTCCAACGGCTTACGCCTCATTCATCGGCTGGGCCTGTATGAGGAGCTCTGCGCCCGAGGGTCCTCCGCCTCGCAGCTCACTGTGCACTCCATGCAAGGCGCCGTTCTGGCGGATTTTGATATGGCAGGATGGAGCCGCACTAAAGTGGGATTTGGTTTCATGCGCGTCTTGCGAACCGACCTTGTTGACGTGCTCCTGGAAGCGACCAAGCAGCAAAACATCCCGGTTCACTTCGGTAAACGTATGGAACTCATTACGGAGGACGATAATGGAGTCAAGGTTACATTCTCCGATGGCACAACTGTGTCTTCTGATCTACTTCTTGGCTGTGACGGTATTCACTCTGCAGTCCGCTCGCTGCACGTCGACCCAGCAGCAAAGCCGGTATATTCGGGCATTTCCAACATGTTCGCAATACTGCCGACATCTCGCCTGTCAGGTAGCAATGGAGCAATACCTCCCGCTTTGCACGCCACATTGACCCCTGAGGGACTTCTGGGACTAATGCCGTGTACCGCCTCTGGAGACCATTTATACTGGTTCTATTCGCGTGAGATCCCAGTGCCTGATGGGGGAATCAACCGCGAAGGGTGGGAAGAGTTCGGCAAAAGAGCAGTTGATGGTTTCAAGCAGAATGTACTCGAGGTAATTCGGAGCGGGACTGGGAGCTGGTTGGATCTATTGCGCGACATCATCCGTAAAACCGATACTATCAAATTCTACCCCATATACAAGATGCCCACGACTGCGGCCTGGTCCACAAAACGCTGCTTGCTCATCGGTGATGCTGCGCACGCAATGCAGCCACATGCAGGTCAAGGCACCTCGATGGCCTTAGAGGACGTCTTCTTGCTTTCACGGCTCCTGGAAGGCTCCACGGGTTCGCTGATCGAACTATTCCGGGCCTACGAAACCATTCGCAGACCCCGTGTCGAGGCAATCGCTCGCCTCTCAAGTGAAAATGGAGAGATACGGAAGAATGCGAGTCCCATCGGGTTCAAGGTTAAGGAAATTGCAATTGGGTTGGGGTTCTGGTTATACAAATTGGCGGGGTTGCAGAAGTGGGGAATCGGCATGCAGCAGAAAGAGTTCGTCTACGACATCATGGACGAGCCCCTTCCATCGAGGAGCAATGATAATTGAGGATGCCCAGAGGTTGTGTATCAACCTTGTATTTGCCTGCTACTTGACTGTGTGTTAGCTCCCTAGAATCACCTGAAGAAAAGAGCATTCATTAACAACAGACTTAGCCGACTGTCCAAATGCCGTACTTTTCAAGGGCCCCAACTCTCAAGCAGTGAAATTACCAGTTGAATTGCTAGTAGGCAAATTTCAGTGACTCTGGGTCAGATTCCACAAAAGAGATTTGGACCGAATCGAACTTTATCGGACAGGGCTACCTGTTGTACTTTGCCAGACGCCTCACAGGATATTGTACATCCTATGACAATAACGTCGCATTTGGCGGTAACCTGGTCTACCCCGTACTACTATTGGTTCTCAGACGTCCCCTGGCTATAAGTAAATTTATGACCAGTAGAGTGAGAAAAAGAAATCCGCACTGAGATAATTTGCCATTGTCAAGGAGAAAAGGGAAGAGAGCAAAGTCGTCGCTGGACACAGAAGCCAAGACTTACTACAAACGATGACAATTGTTGCGAACGCAGCTTATCTGGTTATTTTTGGTATTCTCTTAGAATTTCAATCTTGCATTGGAGCTCTACACTCTGGATACTTTGTATCCCGCATACAATAGATGTCCTTTGTGCTTCACTCGCAACTTCGGTCCACGAAAGTATAGACGAGTCGTCCCATTCGGTAGTTGCCCTTGGTGTCCGTCATCACTATGCGACGGACATACCGACGCTGCCCGTTGATCATTTCAAATCCCCAGACCTATGCATAGCAGTTAGAACCGATGACTTTAAATACGGCTCTAGTACTGAAGCCTGAGTTTGTTCAACTTGGGGTCACCTAACCTGTTCTGCGATCCACTTCGGTTCCTGGCTGCGGATTACCACCTGGATCCAGAGCCCGTCCGTTCTACCTTCATGAGGTTCGGTTGCCTGCGCTTTCTCAACAAGGAAGCCGTCGTAAGGCATGCAATTCTCATCAATTTCCGCTCTCAGGAATTTCCCAATGTTTGGGTCCTTAATCTCCGCCCGAGTCTCCACACATGGAACTGGTCTTGCCTGGGTTGAATTGCCGATAAATCGGGATTGTACGACTGTTTTCCCAAAAATGTGATCTTCCTGGGGATATTCCAGCCAGTCCAAGTAGCGGCTTTCGGTCGTCCCACCCAAGTTGGCGTTGGTTGACTGGCTTATAGCAATTTGACCAACCGCGTTTCCGGTGTGAGGACTGGAGCCTTCGAATTGTCTCATTTTAACGGTAACTTCTGTCATACCTATGGCCTTCCGCACGACCCAATTTATTCCTTGCTATGGATAAGGTCAGTAAGCGAAGAAATATGTTTTGTTGCGAGAAATACCAATGCAAGCAGCGGATCAGAGTCGGTCGAGAGTTTTTTGTCCTTGATGAACCGTAAACGTCAGTAAAGCAATGGTCAAGCGAGACATTGTAGGTCACTAAGATATGGTTAGTGCCACCCACCAGCATCCATGTTCCAGTTAGATTTTCAATCGAAATATCACTCGGGGCGGCCATGTCGATGGTCTTGTATTTCACAATGGAACTTGGTTTATCAACAATGATCTAGGGGAGATCCCAGCTGCAATATCCGAGTCTTTAAATGTTAAAGCTCACCAGCAGTCGGTTGGATTTGGCGAATTCATATCTCGCCTAACACATGGGTGATCCACTTGATGGTGAATATCGATCCTCAAACAAAGATACTCGATGCGGTAATAAATCGAGACACGGACAGAAACCTTATCTTTGTAAGGGGATTGATTTACGGATTATTTCCCATGAAGGAATTTCGCCGAATATTGCCAATTTCCGAAAACATGTGATTCAATCTGTACGTGCCAGAAACAATTGCTGAGCATTTTGCTTTAGATTTAAGAAGTATAGCCGGCAGTATTTGTTGATAGTCAGCTTCACCTATCGTCTCAATTTGGGAAGCAGGCTTATCCGCGTAACCTGTTTGAATTTACGCTACCTCATACAAAGAAAGAAATGGACAACAAGACATCGCATATTCTTCTGAAGGGAGGAACGTTACTCATACATGATGAACATGACCGAGTCATTCCAAGAAAGTTGGATTTGCTGATTCAAGATGACCGCATCGTTCGAATCGACCATGACATTCAGCCTCCTACAGGAACCAAGACAGTTGACTGTGTTGGCTCCTTGGTCTCCCCTGGGTTTATCGATACTCACAGACACTTGTGGCAATCTCAACAGAAAGGTCTTCATTGCGACCAAATCTTACTTGATTACTACCATTCTGGTACGATCCAATGCCAAGCGCCTCTCTTCTTTTTCTGGGACCTGACAAACAAAAAGGGAATCTCGCTAGCTCACATTATGAGCCAGATGATGTCTTCTGCGGTGTCTTGAGTAGCTGCATGGAGGCAATAGACGCCGGAACAACGACTGTCGTTGATCATGCTCATGTCAATTACTCTTCTCAGCATAGTAAGTCCTCGCTTCCAGTTATTCTCCTCATATTTGGCAATACGTTTCACGCGGTACTGACCAGAATTAGACAAAGAGGCAATTCGTGGGCAAATCGCCTCAGGAATCAGATCTATATTCTGTTACTGTGTGCATCCGCGCGTCTCCACTTGGCAGCCAGAACTCAAACTCGACCATGAACTTCATTTCGATGCAGAAATGGACGATTTCAGACGGCTAGCCAAGGAACAACCTTTTGGCCCAAATGGAAGGACTAGACTCGGATTTGCGATGGACACGATGTTTGTGCCACCAAAGGTGTTAAAAGACGCTTTCAACATAGCTCGTGAACATGGCGTGCACATGATCACATCTCATGTAACCCGAGTAAGCATGATGGACAGTGAGTTTATTTATCTATGCTTTACCTTCCTTGCTGGCCCTTTCAAAACGACTCTTATTTGACTCCTTGTACGTCTCACTAACTGTCTCGTAACAAAGACATGCCATCCGCATTGGCAGTGCTGAATGATAACGGGCTCCTCGGACCTGACGTGTTGTTGTCTCACGGCAACAACATTACACGTGAGGAGCTGGGTTGGATTGCAACAAGCAATGCCCATCTCTCGAGCACTCCCTTGTCAGAACTACAAATGGGCCACGGTTACCCGATCTGCCTCGAAGCAGATTTTCTACCGTTCTCTTCCATTGGGACAGACTCTAACAGCATCTGTACTTCATTCATTCCAGCACAGGCTAGAACAGCCCTACAGACTACACGTGCGCGACAGATGGCAGAGAACATCAGAAATGGTACATGGGATGGCACCATCGGTCCTAGGGCCGAGGATGCATTCAATCTTGCGACTGTGCTTGGAGCGCGGGCTATCGGCCTTGGAGACGAAATTGGGAGTCTCGCGGTGGGAAAGAAGGCGGATATTGTGATATTCCAAGGCCAAACACCGACGATGATCCCCGCCAGTGAATATGATCCTATCGCCGCCATCATACTCCACAGCTCCGTGCGGGATGTCCAAACAGTCATCGTCGATGGTGTAATTCGTAAAGAGAATGGCAATTTATGCCAAATCAGCATTCCTGCTGATATTAAAGAGAATGATGAAATCAGTGCCAGTGAGAGGGAGTCTCTTGGGTGGAAGGGCGTTGCGAAACTTCTGAGAGACAGCCGTTCGAAATTGGAGGAAGTCAAATCAACGATTTGCGATGAGGACGCAGCACGGAATGGACTGATCAGGTCATTTTTGGGCGCAATGGCACACGCAAGCAGTGCAGAATGAAATTCTGATTGCTTCCAAGATAGCGCATACCAATCATACTAGCTGATTTGGTGTCTTGTCTTGCAACCTGACTTAACATGCATTTCTAAAGCGCTGAGCACTCGATTCTGAATATTATCCCCACCACTGTACATAAATATATTAAACACAGAAACTTCAAATCTCTGCCGTTTACCACCTTGCCGCGAGCAAAGATGTTGAAGTCTACGTACCTCGCGGGTCACTGTAGTAGTCTTTCAATTACACTGCCAGTAGAGTTATGATTGAAGTGCACCTTCTTGCTGGTTCCGTCCATTTAAGGGTTAATATATCACTCAAGAATGATATGTGGAATCCCCGATCTACAACTCCCTTTCTAAGTGAATCTTCTCCGTTGAAGTCGTGCGAAAAACTGCAGTCCAGGACATCTGGGCGCACTCTAATCGACTCAAGCACCGGACTGAGTCTGCTTTCAAAGTAGTTATGCATACGCATGGGGAAACAGTTCTCAATATTACATCATTCGGCCCAAAAGGGTAAATTACCGTTACTCGAATTGTGCAATTCTCAGATTTCGACTGAAATAATGCCAAGAATAGCGAGGTTCCGCTCTACATTTGTGCTGAAGAAGCACATGTAGGGGAATGTTCCGGCCCTCGCCTGGCTTCAGTGACGTTGGCTGGCGACAACTAGTCCATGTTTGTAGATATTCCGGAAATTCTCAGTACAGGAACCCCGACAGATTGCTGATCTGTTCTGCTATCCACGGACAGTATGGTGATAATTACGCCTTTTATCTCTATAAGGAAATATACCGCGCAGAGAAGATATAATTACTGCTGATAGCTGAGTCTCATAAATCTGTCCTACCTCTACTGGACGAGCACGGCACTGGAGAATCCTCACAAGCTATACTCTCACGCCTTGGTTTGTTCACCATGACCGCTACAGGAGTTTTCGTCGACGTCGTGGGCCTGTCCTATTGTAGTGGGAATACCAAAGGCACTACATCAAATGACTTCGTTTACAAATATAACCCAGGGGCCAAAGTGACTTTCTCTATTGGTGAGCTTGTCCTGGGTCACTGTGAAGGCAGACCCACGACGACCATATCGAATTTAATGCCGAATAACATCTCAATTTATGATCCACGGTCCGTGAATCGGGCACGGCTGCTGTTCAGCCTGTCCGTTGGCCAGGGCTTCGAAACGCCAATCCACATTGACCGCCACGTATGTCTGAGATTTTCTATTGGGACTTCACTCTCGAGGCAATTGATCATCGTTTTTTAACATATGTCGTGCAGGTTGAAGCTGTGATAAATCAGCACAAGGACGAAATCAACCTGGACTCTGAAAACTTAAGTGACCTAGACCGGCCTCTCCAAAAAATCTGCGATATACTCGGCCTTCGTCCTAAGTCTGTTCACCACACCCGAAATCATCTTCGCCGGGAGACAGCAGGTTTCAAGGTCCTGAGAGACTTCCAAATAGCATCCCCAGATGGTGGATATGTTTTGGCCGACGTCTATCTTCCCCTGCAGCCCAAGGGACGATTCCCGGTTCTTTTGAGCTGTACTCTATATGGACGGCGAATCCCTTGGGGAGGTCCAGACTTGAATGACGACCGGGATATACTGGCTTTTGAGCTTGCAGAGGACGAGTGGCATTCTACAGAGGCTGGCACAGAACTCCACCTACCGGACAGGGGGCCGTGGTCAGAATATTTCAGGACGCAGCGAGGGTTTGAGAATATCGCGACCTTCAACACCTTCTCCTATGTCCCCAAGGGGTACGCTATGGTGAAGATGGACCCCAAGGGTGTGTCAGAGACGCCTGGTAGACGATGGGAGCCTGGTCAACTTGCCGGTGACTTCTATGCTGTTTGCGAATGGTGTGCGAGTCAACCATGGAGCAATGGAAACGTCGCCCTCGTTGGCAGCTCTTATGGAGCCAACACACAGTGGGCCGTGGCAGGCCTTAAGCCAAAAGGGTTGAAATGTTTCGTTCCTTATGCTAGTAAGTCTCAGTCTCAGCGGGGTCCCTGGTGTCCAAGGAGGATATTAGCTAAAAGACTGGCAGCCGATGTTGACTCCTATCGAGATGCTGCCTACATTGGGGGTGTCCCTTCAACACTCTACCTTGAGAACTGGTTTGCTCGTGTCCGAGGGGTGTCTCCTAAATGGCAGGATCACCTGGACGTGGAAAACATCATGAACAATAATCCTACATTTAATACAATTTGGGCAATGTTGGAGTCCAAACCAGAAGCTTCGGTAGAAATTCCTTGCTTCCTTGCTGCATCCCAAATATTCATGATCCATGGGCGCGGCGCCTACGAAGCTTGGATGGCGCGTCGCCCTGATAATACCCATCTGCAGCTGGTCGATTCGGACTACTACTCGTGGCCGAATCGGGAAGCGGCTGGGAAGATCTTGGAGTTTCTAAACCACCACCTAAAAACTGAAGACTGCTTTGCTCCTGAGCCAGTAGGAATCCAGATGCGCCTCGGAAATCAAAAGTGGTACTGGCGCAAGGAACCGGATTGGCCGGTCCCGGGTACAGAGTATATCAAGTGGTTTCTTCATCCTGACCAAACTTTGACAACCACGCCGCCAGCTCTGGGAACGACGGAAAAGCGCTTTACATACTCCGCTCACAAGCCCTCTGCAGGAAATTCAGGGGTCAGTTTCTATTCGCTGCCTTTCGAAGAAGATGTCGAGATGGCAGGTCATTTTGCGGCAACGCTGTGCATTTCGTCAACGGCTCCGGATGCAGACGTCGTCGTCCTTGCCTGGGCTATAGATGAACATGGCCGTGCTGTTGCTTACGGGGCAAACAGTAGTGAGCCGGAGCCACTGGCAAAAGGCTTTCTGCGCGTCAGCCATCGGAAGACCGACCCAGAACGATCTCTTCCGTGGAGACCATGGCACACTCACCTACAGGACCACCTGTTGCCGCTCCAGGGACCGAATGACGTGGTGGAAATCACAGTGGAAATAATGCCTGCTGCTGCTCGTATCCGGAAGGGCTGGTCTCTACGCGTGGATATATGCCCATCCGAATATCAGCCAAATCTCCCGGGATACAAAGCCCCGTCAATGAGACTCTGGTACGGTGAGACTCATGATCAGGATGCTCTTGATACTGTCCATGTCGGTGGCAGTCGTACCAATTTTCTTATGTGTCCAGTTGTGCCACGCAGCGAGAATTACCCTGGATGTATAACCTAATCAGACTGTAGTTTGGAGCGGGTACGAGCTATTCTCAAACATTTGGCGCTTCCGGATATTCCATTCTTGTCAGCCAATGCTTATGCCTCAGGCAGTTAACCCGTCAGATAGTTGGTAGTGCGCTAGTCCAGATAGGGAGTTTTTCCGAGCCAATGGAACGTGCCACTGGCGACCGTCCGCATCGTCTCCTTGTCTTATGCATCCACACGTCCAAGCGATAAATGGCTGGTTGGCTGCATATATTAGTCTCTCTTCCTCTCTCGAGCTCTCCATAGGCCAGTACCAATCTAAAATATAATTCCAGTGATTTCAGGATGGCCGACCAAGGAAAGCGGATGTATGGACAAAAGACGGTTAGGTGGGTGCCAGGAAAAGGCTCAGGAGCGAGGGTTTGCGATCGGTGCACTGAGTGAGTGAACAAAGACAAACGCAGCTGTCGCGGGAGAACGCTAACGCGAGCAAGGAAAAAAATCAAATGTATCCACCGAAGTGCTGGCAGTACCATGAAGCACCTCTAACTTGGATGGTAGGCGATATGAATCGACCGAGATGCTCAGCTTGCGACCGATCCACCCAGACGTGTACCTTTAGTCGCACTCGCAAGAGACCCGGTCCGCCCAGAGGACCCCAAAGACAATCCAATAATGTGGTAGAACCAGACTGCTTCAATGGTTACCTACTCTTTGTTTGCAATCTGCGACCTATGGCTGATTGGTACCCAGAGAGCTCATCCACTTCCAATGACTCCCGCACTGCTCCTATATTACATCCATCCCCCGGTGTATTCACTCCCTCGAGCTTTCTAGATTCGGCTACGCAAGCAACTCGAATAGATGCTCAGGGCACCGCAGACTTCCTAGATCTCCATTTCTCGCTGTTCCATTCAAAGCGCCGGAGTGAACTGTAAGTTGCGGCTGGCGTACCAACAAGATTTATCTAAGATCAAGGCCAGGGCCCAATTCTTCATTTCTACTGTTAACGTATGCTTTCCTCTGTTTCAACACGATACATTTTCGAAATCGCTGGAAATTGAGCATATTCATCACTTGCCATCCGTCGTCTATGGCATCTCCGCTGGACTGATCGGGAGCCTTAGTATGCGGGCGGAAGCCAATATTGATAACGAGTTAGGGCAGTGGGTTCACACTAAGCAAATAAAAGCCGACAGTATCATCGATCCGAAGGCGCTCTATGAATGGCAAGCTGCTTGTCTGCTGGCATGGTATGGATTTCATCAGCGGTTTGGCACCGAAGACGAAATGCACATGGTGGTCACTACTTTGGCCCGCAAAGCGTATTACTTTGGCCTGCATCAAATTGATAGCCCAGGAAACCGGAGCTGCTACGGCTGGGACCTCCTAGATGAGTCCAGGCTGGAAGATTGGCGTCGTGTGTGGTGGTGCGTCTACATTCTGGATTCATATTCTAGCTTCTCAACAGCAACACCGACGCAAGTGGAGGCCGAGAGTATCCAGACAGCACTCCCCCTTGACCCGACAGATACAGACAGCAAACGCTCTCAATCGACGAAGATTTTCCTGCCCTCTAAGCTAGAGGATCTGCCCGCCGTTACTCAAAATATTGGGAAAGGCCTCGTAGATAAGGGCTTTGGTCTGCATATGGCTGTGAACACACTACTGAAAGCAGCCATAAAAATCCATCGGCTCAGCAAGCAGAGCTCCGGCGCTTATATCTCTGAGCGCATATCTGCATTAGAAGATCACCTGTCTGCCCTGCAATTATCACTGCCGCCTTACTACATGCGACCAATATCGGACATAATCGGTGGCGAACAACTTCCTGGTTTCAACTCACGCCTTCAGACCCAACTCAAAGTTCATAGCATTCGACTTATCCTTGGCTTTTCTGACATCCGAATGGATATGAGCCACTGGCATTCCAGGTGGCAGGAGAGCTTGGAAATTTGCTATCGCATGTTCGAGGTGATCCAGCACTGGGACTCACAGTCCATCCTTACCGTCGACCCTGCCATCTGTTTCATCGTCGCGTCATTGTTCGTGATGCTGCATCTTCATAGCCTTTCAAGCGCGAACTCAAATGGGGTATTACTTGCCCAGCTTACACGGCGGAAAGAGGTAGTCCGCCTATTTCTGCAGAACTACGCCTCGTACTGGAAACTACCCAGATTCCTGCTTGGTAAGCAAATTCGCTTAGACACCAAGTACAGGAATTGTTCTCTTTTTCTGACTTGATACCATACAGACTGCTGCACTACGTTTACGCACAAAGTCTCAGGCTCCCTGAGTGCTGAAGATATCGTTCGAATTTCGGACCACCTTCAGGGACCGTTGCATCAAAAATGGCTGAGTTTCCTGTCTCCCAGTCCGGAAACCCTCGATACTTTGGATTTCGATAATTTGATGCATTTTGGCTTGGATGCGTCCATACAAGATATCTTTTCGTTCCACGGAAGCGAATCGATACCAAACTTGGCTGACAACTCTTAACTGGCTTGGATTGTAACTTGCCCTCTACCTGCGAGCGTTTATACTTAGAATATTGTATTACTAGTATGGATATTTTGTGTGGTAAGGCTTTGTAGTTTCTAATTATAGTCAGTAAAAAAGGTACTTCCTTGCAACTTACACCACAAGCAGTAGATCAAAGGATCTTCTACTAGATGATCTGACTGACTGTCTTATTAATATCATCAAGATAGCTCCAAGTAGTAATTGTAGTATATATAAGGTTTGTCTACTACCGCCTAGTTGAAGACTTGTCGATAAGAAAATGCCCCACGTCGCAGATCGACAGCTGGATGGATGTGTTGCCCTGACGATGCCCAATCCCCTTGCTTTCTCCATCCACCCCCAACTGAACCTCATCGTACCCATCTTCGAATTCTCCCACAGGAATCATGTCAATATCGGCAGTTCCATATAGGGAGTTCATTCGCCAGAAAGAAGCCGAGTTCTTTTCCTTGATTGATCAAGGAGCCATTTCCCCATGGCTGTTCCCGCATGATTTTGTCATGCTGATCATTCCCATTTTGGTCCTGCTGGTTCCCAACAATGGCCAGGCATGGGTGGTCACCCTTAGACGCACCACGTTCGGACTCGTATGCTCCCTTGCGATCAAGAGCCTGCTGTATACGCGATGTCTCACTGGCGGAGGCTCCGTCATCGGCTTTTACTATGTCTTTGTTGTCATCTGGACTGCCTTACTCCTTCTCTTCAAGGACGTCCAGAACGAGTGTTTCCGGGTTGAGCGATCGTCAAAGGGGACGCTCTATTGGCAAGGCTATCCGGACTCAATGTGCCATCGTCTAAGCTGGCTACTGGATATGTTCAGCAGTCTGCGTGGGGCAGGCTGGAACTGGAGGATTCCTGGATTATCTCCACGTCCAAAGATCAGCTCCGAACACCAGCAGACATACACAGACGGCAAGGAGTTACCCCAGGACGCGCCATCGTCGACTTTTCTTCGGACCTCTTTTCTGAGGACAGCTCGCTACTACTTGGTTATGGATTTCTTGAAAGTCCTCACCATGCTGGACCCCTACTTCTGGGGGCTCATCGATGCTGCTCCTCTCTACCCCCTCAACCGGATATACCACTTCTCGCCGGCACTCTTACGCCTCTTCCGCGCAGTCGTAACAGTGCTCTGGATTCGCACGATCATGGCCTATATAGCCTCCATGGTGCCTCTCATCCTCAGTGTGGCTGTCACTGTCTGCCCGGCTCTTATCAAATGGACCCGTATACCCCTCGACGCATTGTGGTTATATCCTCCTCTATTCGGGAGCTTTTTCAATTTCAAAGCAGTCTTCGACTATGGCCTGGAAGGCTGGTGGGGGCGACGTTGGCATCAGGCGTACCGATATGCCTTCTCAGAGACAGCGCGTCATGTTGTTCCCAGCAACTTTGCAAATAATGACATGACCAGGTTTCTAAGGCATTCTGTCGCTTTTCTGTTGAGCGGACTGGTTCATTTCTGTTCCGTCCATACGCACTTTGTCCCGATGGACTCTGCGCATGTCGGAGCTCTACTCTTTTTTATGCTGCAGCCGCTGGGTATGCTCGTCCAGAGAAAGCTACGGGGGGTATTATTCTCAGAAGGAAGTATCACCTGGAGAGCATTTAACGCCATCTCGACATATGTGTGGTTATACCTTGTTATCGGACCTTTTTGCGATGGACTGGCTGCCGCTGGGACTTGGGCGTACGATGAGCCATGTCCGATCAGTATTATTCGAGGATTGGGCTTGATTGAGGGAGAGAGCTGGTTCGTGGGAACGAGAAGATATGTTCGGATGTGGACAGGGGAGAAGTGGTGGCAGACTGGTATTCAGATTCTTTGATTTTCTGTGTGTTCGGTATAAAATCATGGTATGCATAGGATAGACATGTGCTCAGTATAAAGTCATGAATATAGATAGGAAAGCATCGGGCGGAGATCATTTAGTTAGTTAATGCTGATCACGTCATCGCGGGGCATCAAAGCATGAATCTTTGCAACAACTTCATCCGTCCATCAATATCATAAACCACTACCATGGGTTCATCATCTGCACAGTCATTTACAACTATTCCTGTTCTCGACTTCTCGCTATCCGCATCGCCAGACACAAAACCTCGTTTCCTCTCGGAGTTGCGGAATGCTGTGGTCAATGTGGGGTTTTTCTATCTTATCCACACCCCAATCGCGCGTCATGTCCAGCAGGAATTCATCGAAAAGTCTCTGGCAGTATTTGATCTACCGCTAGAAAAGAAACTGGAGATTGAAATGGTCAACAGCAAGCACTTCCTGGGCTATTCCCGCCTTGGTGCGGAGACGACCGCCTCCAAAACAGATTACCGGGAGCAGTTTGATGTAAGCGGCTATAGTCATAAAGATACGAAGTAGGCTAATGATGGTATAGTTTGCGACGGAACTTCCAGCCCCCGGACCAGATGAACCCCTGTACAGAAACATCCGGGGGCCAAACCAGTGGCCCGATGAAACCGCCATCCCGGGCTTCCGGAAGGCCATCGAAGCCTACCTAGCTGAAATCCGTCCTCTGGCAGAGGCATTCAAGTCCTTTATTGCAGAAGCACTGGATCTCCCGTCAAACGCTCTGTACCCTTTCTTCGACCAGCCTCCACAGCACAAACTCAAACTGATCAAGTATCCACCGCCCAGCAGCGCTGCCCAGGCGCAGGGCGTCGGCGCGCACAAGGACTCAGAATTCCTTACCTTCCTGCTGCAGGCGACCCCTCACTCAGGGCTCGAAGTGCAGAACAAATCCGGGGATTGGATCCCCGCGCCGCCGCTGGATGGCTCGCTGGTGGTGAATATCGGGCGGGCGCTGGAGGCAGTCACAGGGGGCGTGTGCACGGCCACCACGCATCGAGTGAACTTACAACCGGAGAATTTCGTGGATGCGGACGGAAAACCACTGGGTCCAAGGTTCTCCTTTCCTGTTTTCCAGGGGATGAGTCTGGAGTTGTGTGCGGAGGATATCCACCTGGATATTCCGGCGCATATTAGGGAGCTGGTCAAGGATCAGCAGGTGCGCTCGGATGCGGAGGCTACGTTCAATAAAGCGTTTCACGGAAAGACCGGCGAGGGAACGCTGATCCATCGGATCACGAGTCATCAGGATGTGGGACGACGATGGTATCCGGAATTATTGGAGTGGGCATTGAAGGAGAGGCAGGGTAGTCATTGACTGGACTCTGCAGGGAAGATACTGTATGTGATGCAACAGTCTCGGTAGACGCAATAGCAATCCCCGAGTATTGTCAGCATTTGATTATTCCGCGAGTCAGTGACGGACATTGCCCGTCCTCGTAGACAGTACAAAGCGCGTTTCATGCGGCATTTGTCTCGACAATTCCACCCCATAAAGTGACGATCATATCTATATGTGGATAATGACACAATATCCCGAGATTCTGCACAAATCACACTCGGTAAAGCTGAAACGCCAAGCAATGTCCCTGCAGCGGAAGATTCTATTATACAATGATGAAGTCTTGGCTGCTCTCGAGCCCCGGGGAGTGTCCTGTTTTTCCAGCAATGGGGTAGAATCTGGGGTATATAAATCCCTAGAAGGGAACAGAGGTACTTAGTGCCGTGAAGACAGCAATCAGGGCAATCGGGCACGCAATGAAGTACTTCCAGACCGTCCTCGGGCTACTGCCCACAGCGCTCGCGGCGTCCATCTATGTTTCTACCACAGGGTCCAGCAGTGGCTCAGGGAGCATTACCTCCCCGCTGAACTCCATTCAATCCGCCGTCAACCTTGCAAAGCCCGGCGATACCATCTACCTCCGTGGAGGAACGTACTCGCCTACCAGCAACATCCAGATCACCAAGAGCGGAACAGCCAGCCAGCCATACGCCCTGCGCGCCTACCAGGGCGAGAAGGTCATTATCGACGGAGAAGCTCTACCTGGGTAGGTTGACTCGTATCTGTACCGACCACCTGCTAATGAGAATAGAACACCCGCACCCCTCGACGCTTCCCTTCCCAACGCAGACCGCGGCATCCTTCACATCCAGAACGCGAATTACTGGCAGTTCTACGATTTGGAGCTGATTCACGGGCCGTATGGCGTGTATGCGCGCGATTCGTCCAACAATCGCTACGAGCGGCTCATCACGAGGGATAACTACGAGACTGGTATATTGCCTTGCCGGGATACTTACAGCACGCTGACGAGTAACTCTAGGCTTCCAACTGGAAGGCGCATCCTCCAACAACAAAGTCCTCTACCTCGACTCCTACGGTAACAGGGACCCCCGCAAGAACGGCGAGAGCGCCGACGGCTTTGCCTGCAAGGAGGGCTCCGGCGAGGGTAATCTCCTCAAGGGAGCGAGACTGTGGAATAACGTCGACGACGGGTTGGATCTGTGGGAGTTCAAGTCTGCTGTGACGATCCAGGACACTATTTCCTGGGGAAATGGGTATAACCGGTACGCTATGACGTCTTTATTTTGTTACTGCAGCTGACTCTCTAGATGGGGCTTCTCACCCTTCGAAGGCGACGGCAACGGCTTCAAGCTCGGCGGCGGCGATGCAGCGGATAAAGGCCCCGCCAACCACGTCATCACCAACTGCATCGCCTTTGGGAACTCCAAAGATGGGTTCACGGATAACTCGCAGACGGGCGATTTCACGCTGAGCCGCAACACGGCGTGGAACAATGCCAAGGTGGGCTTCAAGTTCAACACGGCTGTGGCTACGCTCGAGGGGAACGTTGCGGCCATCAATGGAGAGAGTGCCACCGCTCTGAGCTCGAAGCAGATTTCCTCGGGGAACTCGTGGGACGGAAGTGCGTCCTGGTCGAATAGTAGCTTCAAGAGTGTGGATGTGAGTCTGGTGCAGGGTGCTAGACAGGCGGATGGGCGGATCAAGGCCAGTGATTTCTTGCTGCCAAAGTCGGGGGAGGCTATTGGGGCGACCACAGTTTGGACGTAGTCTTCATTCATTGGGCTGAAGAGCAGCTATAATCAATACTATCCACTTGCTTTGACTTGAGCGTACTGCAGCTCATACTCCCTCCACTTCCTCCCAATTGGCTGAATCAACGTATAACTCGCCTTACTCCCAGATTCCTGCACCCCATTCACCAAATACAAGGGCGTCATCTCGCCATCCTCACTGAAGAACAGCTTCGGCCGTTCCCTCCGATAGTAATCCACCCTGCTCCCATCGGTAAACTCCACCGTGGTATTATATGCCAGCGTGATGTTGTTGTAATGCCACGGACCGTGCCAGTCCCTGGCAAACACATGCGCGCCCACACGTGGGCCCTTTTGCCCTAAAGCGATATCGACCATATGGTGCACGAGAAAATGCCAATGTCCGCGCCTATCCCGCCAGAGGAAGGGGTCCTCGCTGCGCAGGGAGGGGTCGATCTCTGTAAACCCCGGCTCTACTCGGAGGGAATACGGTCCCTTGTAGCTGGAAGCGGCATAGATGTTGTTCTTTTCCGTGGCGAGGAGGATCTCGCTTGTGTGGTCGTGTGGGGACCACAGCGGCCAGGCTGCGGGATTGGTGACATTGATCAAAAGCTCGACGGGCTCGCTCCAGACGCGAAGGTCCCGCGAGGTCGAGACGGAAATGCTGTTGTTGCGCTTGATTGAGCGGCAGGTTGTCGGGGGCTCCCAGTCGAGTCCGATAAAGTGCATCAGGTACAGTTTGTCGGCTGGACTCCAGATCACGGTTGGGTTGTGGTGGAATGTGCCGAAGAGCTCCTGGGCGAAGGTGTAGGGTCCTCGTGGGCCGGTACGCGACTCCGCGCGGATAATGGTGCTGAATGGCCGCCAGCCGGAGAGTCCGCAGCCTCGGTCTATCTGAGAGACGATGAGATGGAAGAGCGTAGGGTCATGTCGGTCGTGGACGATATGTCCGCCCCAGGAGGAATTGCCAGCGCCGTCGCGGTAGAAGTCCGGCAGGGTGATGTTGGTATGGTTGTAGCCGGTATTTCGGTCGACGGGCTGCAGGTCGAGCTCGCTGCAGTCGGCCGCGCGCCAGCCAGGGTCACAGATGCATTGTTTGGTTATTGAACAGACGCCTGTTAGGCTGCAGTCTTCGTCTGTGGTGCACGTAAAGGCGGCCACAAGTCGTAAAGTATGAAACAGGAGCAATAAACGCATTGTGCAGTGCTGCTGCCACCGATATTCAGGAGCCTGGAGTCTATATGTGTCATACCAAGGACGTCAAGCCTGAATGCTGCGGGGTATAGCTTCGAGGGTTATGAGAGGTGGAGAATTATGCTTCTGCATTTCGGTATGTTGATCCCCGAGATCTGCAATCAATGGTCTTTATAGTATCATGCTTCATCCTAGAGAGGTATTCCCTAAGATATATAGGAACATCCGTAGAATACCAAGCAGGTGGATATCACAGATCATTTATTTGGACCGACAGGATCATGTCCTAGTTTCATAGAGGGGCACTGGAAGAGTGCAGTGTTTAGTCTAACTCTGTGTATATTTGTCTTGGATCTCCTTACTGAGGCCCGAGGATCATAACACACTTGTGAGGAATGCTCAGGTAAGGTGGAAATTGTCCAGAAGACTAGAGGACCACTTCACTCGTCGCAGGACAGTAGAATGTTTAAACTGAGTTAGGGTCATATGCCTGCACGAGAATGCTTGTAGGAGCTGACACTGCAGTGTCTAGTACCCCTGGACTTCTGGTCCATACAGCTCTATTATGCCGCAACGCCGTCTATCAAAGGACCAACTAATTCTTCAACAGTCTCGAGAGCACAAGACCAATTTCCAGGAGAGATCCTGATTATACTTTTGCCCAAAATAGCATGCCAAGTCCAGTGGCCATTAAACTTAACTGCCGATCCACATCGTATCCTTCCGTAAACGACGCAGATCAGCCCCTATGCTCGTGTTGCTCGTATTTCGTTGATAGCCTTTGCGTCTAGGAAATTAATTCTCATTTACAGACGTTATATAATGTGCCGCTCACTCCTCGTCACGATTATCACTGATCATACAAAATGACTCCGCTCATCAAGCTCGGCAGCCTTCTGGCTGCATTGCTCTGGATCACCTTTGGCATCGCCACCGCCAATGCCAGCATTCCCTCATCCAAACGCTTCGATCTATCCGCCCCATCCTACGACCTCTACCGTCACAAAACCCTCCGTGATGACACGGTTCAGCAAGGATTCGCGTTTGACAACGTCAACCGCCGTCTTTTTGTCGCACAGCGCCGCGACGGGTCCTCCGAAACAGCAGGCGACCTGGCAATCACGCAGCTCGACTTTGACGGCAACTACGTCGGACACATGTACCTGAAGGACTTTGGCCACGGCGTCTCCTTTGGCGCGCAGGCCGTCGGGTCCGCAACCTACCTCTGGACCGAGGTCGAGGCCAACGCCAACGGCTACGGCCAGAGACTCGCCCGCTTCAAGTTCGCCTCTGGCACTACGCTGACTAGCTCCTCGGCTGGCTTGGCTAAATTCAAGCCCGTCGCCGACGCAACGGAGCATACCTGCGCCATTGACCCGGTCTACAACCGGCTGATCGTCCGGTATAACCTCAGCGGAGCGAAGCATATCGCCGTGTATGACCTCGCCGCCGCGACGAGGGGCGATTTCTCGACCCCGCTGGCCAACTTCAAGCAGCCGGCGTTGAACGCGCTGTCGCCGACTTTCCAGGGCTATGCGGCCTACGGTCAGTACCTGTACCTGCTGACTGGGACTGCGTATGCGGCCAGCGGGGGTAAGGTCAATTCCGAGGTAACCAGTGTCGACATGAACACGGGCAAGGTGGTGCAGGGGCCCACGCTCACCAAGGCCGGTTCCACGCTGGAGTATAGAGAGCCGGAAGGATTGGCGATTTACAAGACGGCTACTGGGGAGGTGAGGTTGTTCTTGGGATTTGCTTCGGGAGTTGGGGGTGATCGCAGGTCGAATCTCTTCTACAAGAATGCGTTGGCTTAGGTTGGTCGCAATCGAGATAATTTGTGAGGGATTTGTTTACATTGTATAAACTCTTAATTATAGATAATTGGTCCTAATTTACATCTGGTTGTGAGTAAACTGATGTTCTGAGTCCCGAGACTGATATCACCGGATTCGAGTCGAAACAGCTACGTAGGTTGTTTAACTGCCAAACTTCCGTGTCTGCCGTCAGTTTGGAATAAGTAAATAGTCCGAAGTATGTTCTCGGCGGTCTAATGCAAGGAATGCAGTCGCTATTATGCCCTAGTCTTCCGTAAAACATTACGGCGGAAGGTCTGTTCTTAGAGGCGACCCAAAGACTCCAACAAGAACGGAGACAGCAGCTGGCATTAAACATCCCAATGACATATTCTAGGAATGTTTACTCTGGACAGCCTCACGATGAAGTTGATGTCATTCCGCATTCCTCAATGAGGCTGTCCTGACTGGAATGCTGATGACAACGTGGCGTGGCCGCATTCGGCAATCAACACAATCGTTCAGGGACTTGTCATATTCCTCCTGGCTTCTGACAGCAAATGACGTATGTAGCGGCAAGTAGAGCTGTTTGAGATGATGGAGTCTACCAAATGCGTCGTGGGCTCCGGTGGAGTGGTTCGATATGAAGCAAATCTGGGGACAGTTTCAGATCTGATGACGTGACGCGGGTCTTGGTATGCTTTCTGTAGAATGACGTCGGCTGGGTTATTGTCATTGTGTAGAATTACCTGCAGTAGATTATCTGCCACAATATGCATGCTCTTGTCAGGCACACATACATCATTGGGCGTGGACTGTTGCATGCGGAAACCACTCCCGAAGCCTTATTAGCAGGGATATAAAGTACTGGAAGAACGACGTCCTGGGGACATCATGAAGCTATACACAATCAAAATGAAGATAAAGATGACTATACCGTCAATTCCTGAAACCATCCCCGAGCACTCCGAGCTCAAAGGGAAAGCCCCCCTGCGAGATATCTCTGGCATTCCAGCCATCCCGCGCGAAACCATCCGGACTCCCTCGTGGGATCTCACATCCACATGGCTGATCGGCGCCAACGACGACATCCGCGCCTGGTGGGACTGCATCGGTCCACAGGTGGCTATTCTTGCCGATGAAGCGGGATACAGCGTGGCTGCGCAGACGGAGATCCTCTTGCTGCTGCACTCCATAGTGCTCCCGGACATGGGCCGGTTCCCTCCAGTGGGACAGAACAGACCAGCCGTGCAGTACAGCTGGAGAATCAACACGGACGACTATGACCATCCGATCCTGAGCCTCACCGTGGAAGCGCCCGGCGGGCATGCCAAGGGCTCCAGCAGTATGACCCGGCACCATCTCCAGGCCACTCAAAATATCGTAGAGCAACTAGCGGCCCATCTCCCCCCGGTTGACCTTAAATGGTACAGGCACTTCGTGGCTGCGTTCCAGATCGACCATCATACGGACCACTCTAGCCACCACCGGACGTTCCTAAGCACGGACAAGGACACCACCCGGCCGCGCATGCCTCTGTCGTTCGAGTTTACGGAGACCGGAGTCATTCCAAAGGTCTACTTCTACCCTCCTGCGCAAGCACACGAGAGGAAACCTTCCCTGGCCATCTTCACCGATGCCATCCGGCCGATATCGGAGAGTATCCCCCTTCCGGCTTTCGAAGAGCTCGTCGCGTTTGTGGATAATCATCCAGTGGGTGTGACGCTCAACCCCGAAATGCTCGGTGTGGACTGTGTAGAGCCCGCACAGGCATCGCTATATCTGCATGCCAGCACGCCAGTCACGAACTTTGAGAGCATCATCGCGGTCATGACACTCGGCGGACGCGTGCACGCGATGGATATGGCGATCATGGAGCTGTGGGAGCTGCTGTGTTTGGTCTTGCGGCCGAAGTATCGAGATAGGATGTTCTCGTGGGGCGACGAGTTGCCCGTGTGGAACGCACACACGCAGGGCGATGAAGAGCAGGGGTTGAAGTACTGTTTTGAGATTCTGCCTGGGGTGGAGGTGCCCGAGGTTACCCTCTATATCCCGGTTGTTCGATATGGACCGGCAGATGAAGATGTGGCGGCTGGCTTAGAGAGGTTTCTGAAGAAGAGAGGACAGGCGCAGTTTGCCTATGGATTTTGGAGGGTGTTGAATATGCTGAGCGAGGGTTGGACGAACTCTGGACGGGTTGTGACGCATATCGCGTGTTCCTTTCGCGGCGAGTCATTGGATGTGACTTCGAGTTTGGAGCCTGCTATTTTGCGCTCGCGAGACGATTAGAGATGATTGACGAAGGTATGTGGTACGATATGTAATGGTTAGCGCCTAATTGATTTGGAATTTTATGAACCTCTTGAAATAGCCGCGTAGGATACCGCATAGAGGCAAACAAATGCATGCCGCTGTCCCAAAGAGGAAACTCCTGGTCTGCTTGGACAGGCGCTGATCGTCTTGCCCTGTAGGCAGACTGCCGGCACCCGACGGCGGATGTGATTGTAAATCAATTACTAAATAAACTCTCGGAACGTCGCATTAGAGTTATCTCTCGGGAACGAGCCTATCCCCGAGAATTGACAGGTCACATCTGGACAGTGCTAACCTAAAGCCATTGATCGATAGGCGCTGGGAGTAATCCAACCATGACTAAAGATCTGGGCGTTCGCGCAAGAGTCTTGGAATCCTGGATAATCATTGCATGCTTAGCCGAGGTTTTTGCCTCTTTGAATGAGATGGTCCGATAGCGTGACGTGGCCTCATCTGATGGCAACGCAGCATGCTGATAGCAGTCTAATTGGAGCCAAACAACGTTCTAGCAACAACACCCAACTGAACGGAGTCACGGCGAACAATTAGACATGTTGATGTTTCTCATCCTTCCACAGCCTGAACGCCGGCGCAGCAATTCATTAAGACTGCAATGAGACTCGACGCCCAGATCCGTTGCGGTGAGGGGCAACGGCTCACTAGCACTTGGCTATTTCTGTAGACCAATAACAATATCCTAATCAAACTGGCTGACGGGGAAAAAACGGGCAGTTGCATCCTTCCGCGTGTCATGTCACCGTGGGAGGTGGGGTTTGGACCATTCGCTTCTTTGGGCTGGTGTCAAACATCCCTGCTAGAGTCTCAAGTAGTGTAAAACGGTTTTCTTAAAGGATGCCCTTCTCCGAGGCCTTCTCCGCGTTCAGTCTTCCATCTTCG